ACGTGACGGTATAGAAATAGACTGAAATATTTATCGTATCGGTGTGTGCGGTGCGAAATGGTGCGAAATGGTGCGAAAATTAGGGTCGTAGTCTGGCGGTTAGAGTTTGATAATGGGGTTGTGGGGTGGGGGTGGGAGATTGAGGTAATGTCGTGCGGTTGTTTGTGAATACGGGTTAAATGTGTTAGTGTGTGGGTGGTGGGTGTGGGCGAAGACAGACAGTTTTGTGGGGGTGTGTCGACAGACAGTTTTGTGTGGGTGTGTTGACAGACAGGTTTGTGTGGGTGTGTTGATAGACAGGTTTGTGTGGGTGTGTTGATAGACAGGTTTGTGTGGGTGTGTTGACAGACAGGTTTGTGTGGGTGTGTTGACAGACAGGTTTGTGTGGGTGTGTCGACAGACAGTTATGAGTGGATGTGTTGACAGATAGTTTTGTGGGAGCGAGCAGATAGTTTTGTTTCTGTGTGTATGTTGACATGTCTGTGTGTGATTACGTGTGTAGACACACAGTTTTGCGTGGGTTTCGACGATAGCTTTGTGTGGGTGTTGATATGTTTTGTGTGCGTGTATGTCTTGAGATACATTTTTGTTTGGGTGTCGAAAGACAGTTTTTTTGTGTGTGTTCGACAGTTGTGTGCGTGTGTTGACAGAAGTGAGTGTGTGTGTGTGTGGGAGAGGGGGGAGGAGTGTTCTGTTTGTAACAGCACCAGCACTACCACACGCCCACACCACCCACATTCATCCCCTGATCCCACCCCCCTTCTCCCCATCTCTCCACAGAAATTGTGTCATCAACACATGATGTGCACCAGCCCTAAAAAAAGCTGACCTGTATTGTTTTTTCCCCAACAGGACACATCATTCACATGGCAGACATGCCCCAACTTGACAAGTCCCGCGTGCTGAAATTATTTAGATATTTTCCTCCATGTTTGGAGCGTAGATTCGATCAATTTCTGTTTACATGCAAGTTTTTGGGCTTGTAAATTGATGTGATGTTTTTTTTTCTTATGTGACATCAAGATCTGGCATTAGGCTATTTGGGGCCCATTTTGATCTGGCAACCCGGTTTTTAAAATAAGATAATGGAGCCGTTTAATGGAATATCTGTCACGATATTTTATATGGTTACCTTGAGATTGGACGCAGAGTTCAATTGTGTACAATGCCTTTCTGTCTATTTGTGGGTATAATTCACAGCTTTTGTATACTTGTATTCTCAGCTTCAAATCATCTGGAGGATAGTTTTTAAATACCAACTTCACAATTAGCTTTGCTTAATTTTGTCGGACTGCTAACCCGAATGAATCGAGTTCGAATCCGGGTTCAAGTCTGTACAATGTCCCTGAGTCCACTCAGCTCTTATGGGTACCTTAATAAGTTAATGCTAACCACACTATCCATTCACATTTTGAGGTCACAGAAATAGGTAAACTCTACTTCCTTGCCCCATGGGGCGTCAGGTTCGAAAAGGGAACTTTACTTAATTTTAATTAGTTATTTCCTATTTGTAAGGCGTATGTGGGTACGCCTATCCAAAGAGAACATTTGACAAGTCTTAATAAATAAGTAAACGAAAGCACCTAACCAGGTCGGTAAACTCAGTTGATACAAAATGAACACGTTAATTTAGAGGTGAAATTGTTTATGGATTTTCTTTTCTCTCCGACTTTCTCATCAATATTTTAACTTAATAAATGTGTCATTCGCTTTCAGATAAAGAAAAGAAATATGGACAGACATCTCAGGGGCGATAATAATACACGGGGCGATAACAACTGGTTTCGAAGAATAAAATGGGAAAAACATGTTTGTTTATGTTCAGATACAATCAAAACAAAACACCACAGGGATTGACTTTTTTTCTTCTACGGGAAATTAAAAAAATAAATTTTAAAAATAAAAGAGACAAGGACAACGCAGAAATTGTCATCAAAATTCCTTATTTGAACTCGATGTATCTGAATTTTAAAAGAAATATTTAAATAAACCGGGAGTGATCTCCCCTAAACTTTCTCGAATATTCTTATATAAAATAACAGGGGATGGGAACTCGGGCTATAGACATGATTTTTAATCCATTTTAAATACTTAAAGTTTTAAAAATGGAATAAAATCTCGTAGACAAATTAATTGCACACCAAGTGAACGCCAAATAAAAAAGCGCATAATAGTGCGCCATATTATTATTACTTTTAAAGTTTACATTAGTTTTTTGAGAAATCGGAAGTAGCGTAAAGTACTACTTCCAGTGAACGGAAATGACTCAAAACTTAATAGAAGGTAGAGAATTAGATCTTTTACTTACATATGAAATTTCATTTATCTATCTGAAATAGTACTCAAGTTATAGGCTTTTGAAAAATTCAAAGTAGGAAAAGTACCACTTCCGGTTATCGGAAATCGCTCAAAAGTTGATACGGATCTACGATTTTGATTAAATACTTATATATGAAATTTCATCAACCTAGCTGTAACGGTACTCAAGTTATCGTGTTTACACACTGACAGACAGACACACAGACAGACACACAGACAGACACACAGACATACGGACAAGATTGCAAAATTATGTTTTTCCGTATCAGTGAGGTGTGAAACGTCGAGATTTGTAAAAATCTCGATTTTATTTTTTTTGCACGATTACAAGACTTTCTCTATACTTCGTATATACGAGAAAGTAAAAAGAAAGAAAGTAATTTCGTGTTTTTTTTACATTATACATTGTCAATGCACTAATGTAACCGCTATTTCTTTAACACGACGAGTATGTGGGAGTGGGTGTGTGTGGGGTGGGTGTGTGTGTGTGGGTGTGTGGGGTGGGTGTGAGGGGGTGGGGTCTATGCAAGATGAGTGGAGATGTCGCGTACAGAGCTGGGCGACCTAATTTTTCTGGAATCTTCGGGTGAGCAGGGTATTGAGGGGGTGATGGGATCCGACGTTTGGTCGATTTCACTTCAGTCAAGGGATTCGTTTTTAAATCAATCTGCAATTCAATTAGTCAGCGGTAGATTAGCGAGGGCCGGGGTCAATTAGTGCTGATTTCCTGAGGTTCTTAAGTCCTAGAAAACAAAGAGCTTACAAAGTGTATGGAGGGGGAGGGGGGGGGGGGATTACGTGGACGTGAGTCTAGATCGTATACTGTCACGGTGATAGCTGAAGATTATAGATTGTCACGATGTCACATAGCTTAAAGTGATATATGCCCATCTTTTCACATATCTGTCTGAAGGTGACTACTGCTCGTATCGTCAAACGTGAATCTGAAGATGACAAATACCTATGTTATCACATACGTATCTGAAGGAGACACAATGTCTAGCTTTATCAGAGCAGTGACAATTACATCTTTATCACGATTAACTTTGTCATCAGAAAATGTCAGACAGATATACACAGTCAGACAGTTATACACTGTCAGACAGTTATACACTGTCAGACAGTTATACAATGTCAGACAGTTATACACAGTCAGACAGATATACACAGTCAGACAGTTATACACAGTCAGACAGTTATACACTGTCAGACAGCTATACACAGTCAGACAGTTATACACAGTCAGACAGTTATACACAGTCAGACAGTTATACACAGTCAGACAGTTATACACAGTCGGACAGTTATACACAGTCAGACAGTTATACACTGTCAGACTGTTATACACTGTCAGACTGTTATAAACTGTCAGACAGTTATACACAGTCAGACATACACAGTCAGACAGTTATACACAGTCAGACAGTTATACAATGTCAGACAGTTATACAATGTCAGACAGTTATACACAGTCAGACAGTTATACACTGTCAGACAGTTATACACAGTCAGACAGTTATACACAGTCAGACAGTTATACACAGTCAGACAGTTATACACAGTCAGACAGTTATACACTGTCAGACAGTTATACACTGTCAGACAGATATACACAGTCAGACAATTATACACTGTCAGACAGTTATACACTGTCAGACAGATACACACAGTCACATACGCAGAGGACGTAATCTAATGACACACTGAAGGGTCAAATGTCTGACACTAATCATGTTGTTACTGGGACTGTGGGCTCGTAAAATTCTAAGAATATTTACTCCCTAACAACCCTACAACCCGCGCCCTTACAACATCACCCAAACCCGACCCAACAACACGCCAACTCGACCCCATCCACCTACTCACTCACCTAACCTACTTTCCCACCCACCCACACAACACAACCCACCCCACACCACGCTACCTACTCAACCACCCCATCCACCCACCCACTCACCCACCCCACTCACCTACCCACCCCACTCACCTACCCGACCCCACTCACCTACCCATCCCACTCACCCACCCCACCCACCTACTCACCCAGCCTACCCACCCACCCCACTCACCTACCCACCCCAATCACCCACCCCACTCAACTACCCACCCCACTCACCCACCCACCCCACTCACCTACCCACCCCAATCACCCACCCCACTCAACTACCCACCCCACTCACCCACCCCACTCACCTACCCCACCCCACTCACCTACCCATCCCACTCACCCACCCCACCCACCTACTCACCCAGCCTTCCCACCCACCCCACTCACCTACCCACCCCAATCACCCACCCCACTCAACTACCCACCCCACTCACCCACCCACCCCACTCACCCACCCACCCCACTCACCCACCCACCCCACTCACCCACCCACCCCACTCACCCACCCACCCACCCCACTCACCCACTCTACTCACTCACGCCACTCATCAACCATGACGTATAAGATTTTGCCTCATAAATGATTACAGTGACGCATCAAGCCTCAGCTAATGAAATATAATTGCTTCTTATTAAACCGCAGCCTATTTCATATTTTGGACGATCAGTTACAAGTCAGAAATTAGCATTCATTAGCGTATCGAAACTATGATTTTTCAGCATTCATTAGAATATTAAATCATTTTTCAGATTTGAGAATGGCTTTAACAATACTGTTTCCATTTCGTTACAGAGCATAAAAAAATCATCAGATGACGCTGAGATGAATCACAAGATTAGAGGCTGATTGATAATCTACAAGCATGGCAGGTTGAGCCGGCTATTTTTAGCGGGATTTGTATCTGTGTCAAGGTCACCTCAGTAGAGATGCAGGGAATTTAAACAAGGCGTCCCCCACAGGCTCTCTCGTCCTTGACTTCCGACCTTGACCCCCCGCCCCCACGATGGCAGAGGATAAAAAAGGCAACGATACAATGAAGGAGCTGAGAGATTGGCTTGTGACGAAATGCCGGCTTCCCGGCTTCGGGAACGACCACGACAGAAACACTTCCGGTCGCAGGGGAGGGCGCGGGGCAAGCGGCGACAGGGGTCCGGTACAGCCGCAGCAGTTCTCGACGAACATCGTCACGCCGAGGACCATCCCCCAGTTCATCATCCCCGGGTCCAACGACTCGTCCAGACAGCCCAGCATCGGCTCCAACGACGACCTGGTCAGCCACTCCAGCGGCGAGCCGAGCGTGACGTCATGGTCAGCTTCTACCAGCCCGGGGGTGTCCCCGCGGTCGTCCTTCTCCGCTTTGGCCGCGCCGGAAAACAGTTTGGTCCGCATCCGCTCCGCTCCCGTCTCGCCTCGGAGAGACTCTCACGGGTTTCTGCGAGATTTCGGGATGAGATCCATGTCGAACCTGCCTCACGTGCAGGTAGATCAAGCCCCAGCGGCTAACGGCCACTCCCCCTCTACACCCCACAAGCTCTCAGCCTGCCGCACCAAAACCTACAACGACACCAAAGAAGCCGCCACCCCCGCAAGGAAAGGATCTTTAACTATCCCGACTTCAGAGTTCCGGTCACGGCCTAGAAGAATGCACCGGTCGTTTCAAGACTTCTACGTCCCGGATGAACGGTTCACCTCCAACGATTTGCTTCACGTCAACCACCTGACCGCCGAATACAGGGGAAACTACTCCGGGCTCACGGATAAAAACGAGTACTTGCCCATGAAAGAATCGTTTCGTCGTTCGCAGCGCTACTACCGCAGGCGGTCGTCGCTGGTGACCAACGACGTCATGCGGCTGTTGTACCACAACCAATCAGGCGATGCCGGGGGGTGCACGAACGGGAGCCCCCCGCAACTGAAGACCAGGAAACAGCTGGCGCCCATTGACCCGTTCCAGGACAAGAGACACTCCTCCCCAGAGGTGAGCGTGGTGGAGAAGAAACCCATCGTGGAGAGATCTCACTCTTTGGAGAAACCAAAGTCCAGCTCCCTCATCAACCTCATCGCCTCTCACCCACCGGCCGAAGAACAGCCCGCACCTAAGGCAAAAACTGAAACAGAACGCGGCGACGTCAAGTTCTCGTTTCAATATTTCCCGGCTACAAAAAGACTCAAGGTCATCCTCATTCGGGCGGAAGGCCTTCGTTTTCCGGAAAAACCCGATCTGGTTTTAAACCCATTTTTCAAAATCTGCCTTATGCCGGGGAAATTGCAAAAACAATGCTCCGAACCTGCGCGTCAGACATGCGCACCGAACCTAGACAAGGAGTTTTTCTTTACGGATCTTAACCTGGACGAAATGAAGAGTTTGAGGTTGAGGATTTTGGCCTTCCATAAAGCTCATCACCTCAAGCTCCCTGAGTACCTCGGTGAGTTGAACGTGCCTTTATCCAACTACGATCTACTCATGGAGAATCGCATGTGGAACGACCTCCATTTTAAACCTTACAAAAAGGTAAACAGTTGGTTTATTATTTGTTTTGTACAGAAGACATAGAAGTGAGAATAGATTTTAGATTCAGGGAAAAAGTAACGAAGTTAAAAAAAAAAAAAAAGTTTTAAGGCGATATTATTGTGAACATAAATAACTGCAATTGCTTTTCAAGCTTAACTAATTCTACTCAAAGTTTAATTCTTTGAGTATGACCAATAAACAAATAAAAGTAATGTTAGAAATTAAGCCATAATGATTATCAAATACACTAAATTTTTCTTCCCTCACCCTATAAAATATTATGAAAAAGTAGATTAGAACTTACGATTGTTTTTGTTTTTCTGCGCTCATTAAAACGCTACTTAATTATTTTCCTTTTTAATGACAACTAGGACGTACCATAACCCATCCTTGCAGACGATAGCCACGCCAGACTAGAATGTCTAGATACGTCCTTCACTGATTGCATATCCCTCGTTCCTCGCTCACTTGAGTGGTTTCTCTGTGAGGATGGGAAAACCTTCAAGGCAAAGCCTGGTCGCTGTCTCCCATCTCTTTCTCCCATCTCTGTCTCCCATCTCTGTCTCCCATCTCTGTCTCCCATCTCTGTCTCCCATCTGTCTCCCATCTCTGTCTCCCATCTGTCTCCCATCTCTGTCTCCCATCTCTGTCTCCCAGCTCTGTCTCCCATCTCTGTCTCCCATCTCTGTCTCCCATCTCTGTCTCCCAGCTCTGTCTCCCATCTCTGTCCCCCATCTCTGTCTCCCATCTCTGTCTCCCATCTCTGTCTCCCATCTCTGTCTCCCATCTCTGTCTCCCAGCTCTGTCTCCCATCTCTGTCTCCCATCTCTGTCTCCCAGCTCTGTCTCCCATCTCTGTCTCCCAGCTCTGTCTCCCATCTCTGTCTCCCATCTCTGTCTCCCAGCTCTGTCTCCCATCTCTGTCTCCCATCTCTGTCTCCCAGCTCTGTCTCCCATCTCTGTCTCCCATCTGTCACCCATCTCTGTCTCCCATCTGTCTCCCATCTCTGTCTCCCATCAGTCACCCATCTCTGTCTCCCATCTCTGTCTCCCATCTGTCACCCATCTCTGTCTCCCATCTCTGTCTCCCATCTCTGTCTCCCAATCTCTGTCTCCCATCTCTGTCTCCCATCTCTGTCTCCCATCTATGTCTCCTATCTCTGTCTCCCATCTGTCTCCCATCTCTGTCTCCCATCTGTCTCCCATCTCTGTCTCCCAATCTCTGTCTCCCATCTCTGTCTCCCATCTCTGTCTCCCATCTCTGTCACCCATCTCTGTCTCCCATCTGTCTCCCATCTCTGTCTCCCATCTGTCTCCCATCTCTGTCTCCCATCTCTGTCTCCCATCTCTGTCTCCCATCTCTGTCTCCCATCTCTGTCTACCATCTGTCTCCCATCTATGTCTCCCATCTCTGTCTCCCATCTCTGTCTCCCATCTGTCTCCCATCTCTGTCTCCCATCTGTCACCCATCTCTGTCTCCCATCTGTCTCCCATCTCTGTCTCCCATCTCTGTCTCTCTGTTTCCCATCTCTGTCTCCCATCTGTCTCCTCTCTGTCTCCCATCTCTGTCTCACATATGTCTCCCATCTGTCTCCCATCTCTGTCTCTCTGTCTCCCATCTGTCTCCCATCTCTGTCTCCCATCTCTGTCTCCCATCTCTGTCTCCCATCTCTGTCTCCCATCTCTGTCTACCATCTCTGTCTCCTATCTCTGTCCCCCATCTCTGTCTCCCATCTCTGTCTCCCATCTCTGTCTCCCATCTCTGTCTCCCATCTCTGTCTCCCAGCTCTGTCTCCCATCTCTGTCTCCCAGCTCTGTCTCCCATCTCTGTCTCCCATCTCTGTCTCCCATCTCTGTCTCCCATCTCTGTCTCCCATCTCTGTCACCCATCTCTGTCTCCCATCTCTGTCTCCCATCTCTGTCTCCCATCTCTGTCTCCCATCTCTGTCTCCCATCTCTGTCTCCCATCTCTGTCTCCCATCTCTGTCTCCCATCTCTGTCTCCCATCTGTCTCCCATCTATGTCTCCCATCTCTGTCTCCCATCTCTGTCTCCCATCTATCTCCCATCTCTGTCTCCCATCTGTCACCCATCTCTGTCTCCCATCTGTCTCCCATCTCTGTCTACCATCTCTGTCTCTCTGTTTCCCATCTCAGTCTCCCATCTGTCTCCTCTCTGTCTCCCATCTCTGTCTCACATATGTCTCCCATCTGTCTCCCATCTCTGTCTCTCTGTCTCCCATCTGTCTCCCATCTCTGTCTCCCATCTCTGTCTCCCATCTCTGTCTACCATCTCTGTCTCTCTGTTTCCCATCTCAGTCTCCCATCTGTCTCCTCTCTGTCTCCCATCTCTGTCTCACATATGTCTCCCATCTGTCTCCCATCTCTGTCTCTCTGTCTCCCATCTCTGTCTCCCATCTCTGTCTCCCATCTCTGTCTCTCTGTCTCCCATCTGTCTCCCATCTCTGTCTCCTATCTATGTCTCCCATCTCTGTCTCCCATCTCTGTCTCCCATCTCTGTCTCCCATCTCTGTCTCCCATCTCTGTCTCCTATCTCTGTCCCCCATCTCTGTCTCCCATCTCTGTCTCCCATCTCTGTCTCCCATCTATGTCTCCTATCTCTGTCTCCCATCTGTCACCCATCTCTGTCTCCCATCTCTGTCCCCCATCTCTGTCTCCCATCTCTGTCTCCCATCTCTGTCTCCCATCAATGTCTCCTATCTCTGTCTCCCATCTGTCACCCATCTCTGTCTCCCATCTCTGTCTCCCATCTCTGTCTCCTATCTATGTCTCCTATCTCTGTCTCCCATCTGTCACCCATCTCTGTCTCCCATCTGTCACCCATCTCTGTCTCCCATCTGTCTCCCATCTCTGTCTCCCATCTCTGTCTCCCATCTCTGTCTCCCATCTCTGTCTCCCATCTGTCACCCATCTCTGTCTCCCATCTGTCTCCCATCTCTGTCTCCCATCTCTGTCTCCCATCTCTGTCTCCCATCTCTGTCTCCCATCTCTGTCTCCCATCTCTGTCTCCCATCTGTCTCCCATCTCTGTCTCCCATCTGTCTTCCATCTCTGTGTACCATCTGTCTCCCATCTCTGTCTCTCTGTCTCCCATCTGTCTCCCATCTCTGTCTCCCATCTGTCTCCCATCTCTGTCTCCCATCTCTGTCTCCCATCTGTCTCCCATCTCTGTCTCCCATCTGTCTCCCATCTCTGTCTCCCATCTCTGTCTCCCATCTCTGTCTCCCATCTGTCACCCATCTCTGTCTCCCATCTGTCTCCCATCTCTGTCTCCCATCTCTGTCTCCCATCTCTGTCTCCCATCTCTGTCTCCCATCTCTGTCTCCCATCTCTGTCTCCCATCTGTCTCCCATCTCTGTCTCCCATCTGTCTTCCATCTCTGTGTACCATCTGTCTCCCATCTCTGTCTCTCTGTCTCCCATCTGTCTCCCATCTCTGTCTCCCATCTGTCTCCCATCTCTGTCTCCCATCTCTGTCTCCCATCTCTGTCTCCCATCTATGTCTCCTATCTCTGTCTCCCATCTCTGTCTCCCATCTGTCTCCCATCTCTGTCTCCCATCTGTCTCCCATCTTCTCCCTCTGCGATAACTAAATCCTAAAACTTTAAATTAAACCACGGGAATGAAAAAAATTGAAATAAAACCATCGGACCTGAATTTCCATCCCTCCATCATCCCTTCAAATCTATTAATTTCAAATTGAATAAAAAAGCCATAGTGTAGCTACAAGAGATTACATTTTCCATGCGGGGAGTTTTCTCGCCCGCAACCCGGATTTTATTTGTATATGTTTTTTGTCCCCACAATCTGATGACGCGCCAATTTTTGTGTGCAGTTCCTCAACAGGGGCGTTAATTTGATTGTTCTTTTTTTTTCCCCCAAGACGTCAGCAGGTTTTCCTCTCTGAGTAGTGTCGTCTCCTCCCATGCATAAAGCCATTACCGTCTCCTACATGAATCACAGATTTGTGTATGCTAGTAGCATTCAAGCAGAACCGATTGGAATGTTAAGAACGTTTCGCCGTCAGGTTATTATAATTTTTTTTCCCAGTTTAAAAAAAAATGGGTTGAACGATTTGACGGGTTTTAAAACACAAATAATCTTTTAAATTTTCTGTTTAAACTTAAGAAATACAAGTCAAGTGGAATGGAAATCTAACAATGATTTATAGAAGAAAAAAATCGTTGTTATAATATCTGCGATTAAATTTTGAAGAAAACCATTAAAAAAAAACAAATAAAATGTGGATTATTCATTTTTGAAAAATATATTTTTTAAAGATTTATAACGACATTTGCTATTAAAATTGTATTATTATTATTATATTATTGTCTTCAACAATTCTTATCAAAGTTATTTAAAGTAATATATTTTCACTAGTGTAACTGTAGCCGTTAGCTCCCCAGGGGCCACAAAGGAAAAAATGATGATGATGAATGATATTTCTACTCCAACTTCCGATTTACAATCCCGTTTGATAGTTTCCAATCACAGCATTCGTTAGGTGCTTGTTGTTTGTTATTGTTGAATTAAATTTTGTGTCGATGTTGTTTGTCGTATTGAATCAAATATTTGTGTCAATACTGATAACTTGTTTTTTTTTTGGCGAGAACATCAATCAACCCCCTCCCCCTCCCAACCTCCACACTCTTTGGCGTGAATGTGTTTAGATTTTATCCACAAATACAAAGATAATCCTTGGCTAAAACGGAGGATTTTCTTTTTAAAATGCGAGACGGCACTCAAAGAACTTTTCTCTGATAGATTTTTTTTCTTGATGCATTATCAAACAATGCCCCCCCCCCACCTTAAAGCCTACACATTTAAAACTCCAATTTTGTGTTGCTTTGTGTTTTTTATGTACAGTTTTTAAATTACCATTGTTTCCTATTTTATTCTATAAAAAGCACACACTTTATCATTGCAGACAAAACATCATTCACACGGTTATCTAATGTATTGTTTTCGCAGTCTAAATTTAATA